TATAAATGAAGTGATTGAGGTGACATTTGCTTGGATGAATAGCAAAATGATTTGAGAAAGTAACAAGCAAATCATTTTGGCCTACGACTAAATAGAGAGATTAATATATCATAAAGAAGCTTGTTGGCTAGGATATGAAAAAGGGGTTTAATTATTACACTTAGCTTTGAAATGAAATCTTTCTTTAGGGCCTACCATTTAATTGGCTAAGTAATTAAACTATTATATGATCAAAGAACAATTGTTATGAAATACGAACTAGAATATTATGTGGATGCCATTTAATGGTTTATATTCTTATATTTATCTTTTCAGAGTATTCTAGGTTTAGGGTTTATGGTTCTCTAATTAAGTTATCAACTCTAATTACATCATATCGTATGTATTTATAATTACACTAGTATATCCCTTCTAGTAATGAATTAGGGCATGTTCATTTCAGTTTAATTTCAGTTCAGTTCAGTTCAGTTCAGCTCCAACCAGATCAGTTTAGTCTTCTCTCATAAAATATCATTTCAGCTCTATTCAATTCAGTTTAGTTCAGCTTCAATCACTTCAATTCAATTCATTTCAGTTCAACTCATTTCACTAAATGTGAACAGGGTCTTAGAACATTTTTTTTAATAGCAAAAATATTTCATTAATTAAAAGTCATACGACATCTACAATAGAGATTCGACGTTAACAAATACATAAAATATTGAATCAAATAAAATTTTCCTTTATAAAAAACTACGATAGTCGAGTAGATCTTGCACAATGGAACATTTTTCGCTTATATCGCTAGAAAATACAGTCTTGTTGGCCGGAGAGACAATCTCAAGATCCTTTGTAGCCGTGAGGATCCAATGTTTTCCATCTAATTCATTTGTCTGTATTCGAAAACTTAATAACTTTTTCACCAACGAAATTATTTCACGACAATCCATTAGATCTAATATCATGGATTCAAAACTTAGAAATTTCTCCTCCGAAAAGAGGAGATAAATCTTGTCTTTCGAAGGAGGTCGAAAAACTGTTATCTTTCAAAGGAAATCGGAAACCCTTTCTTTCGAGGGAGAATAGTTCCTCCCAAAAGGAGGAAGTATTATCATAAACTTTTTTTAAAAAAAAAAATATTAAGAAACAAGGATCGGAGCTTTCCACCGATTAAAGACCAATGGAAACCCCTTTAAAATTCAACATGGAGGCTAGCTAGGGTGTTGGAGAGAGGAGAGAGGCTAGCCCCTTTAAAATTAGAGCATGATTATTCTCTCTACAACTTCTCTCAGATTCCCCCTCGTTCCCTTTATTTTATAACATCAAGAAGTTTTTTAAATTATAAAGTGGTGAAATGTGTGAAAAAGGCATGATAAAAGAGAAATTTATATTACTAATGTACATGATGTTGTAAAATAAATTGTAACAACCACGGCAATAACATCAAAAAAAAATGTATATATATAACTATATATTTGTTGCTCCTTCAACCCTAGTTATTCACGTATTCCTCTATGAAGAAGCTTAATTGATCGGTCTGGTCACAGAGGAAATAGTTTAGAGAATGGTTAATTGTTATTGCCTCATCTGAAATAAAATTATCAACCATATTTTAAAACAATGTGTTTGAATAAGCAAATGTTCCATTTGTCATTTGCGTTCGAAAAGCTTTTAGATCAAAAATATACATAGATAGGTATCTCAAATGGTGTTTTATACTAGTACATCTTTAAAAATGATTAAATAATACTCGCATTTTTTTAATGAAGACTTTACTAAAGTTTTTTTTATATATTTTTGCTTAATAAAGCAAAAGAAAACTCAAATCACAATTAATCATCATCTGTAATAATTAGCTGCAAAATGATGACTTCAAATCACACTACCTTTATGGAAGATCAGCCGAATAAATGGAATTTTATGCTCAAATATGTTGGGATGCTAGCTGATCATGATGATTAATAAGAATGTACAAATTAAATGAGTTGTAAAAGAAGATATTATCGTTGCAGACAAAGATTTAGTAACCATTTCATAGTTCATAATATTTCTTTTATACCAAGTAATATATTTGTCTCTCCATAGCTAGTTTTCGCATCAATGATTTATGCTCTTAATATCAGGTTCGATGACCAACTTAAGTAAGAGGTTAAGCTGATACATGGTTGTAAACTTGTAACTCATGATTAATTTATATATTCTATAAAGCATCGATCGCTTGACAATAACATATAAAGCATCGCTTGATGAATGAGTAAAGTCATTTGCTACCTATTGCGGCCTAGGTTTTTGATGAATCATAAGCATGCTTGAGTTATGTCCTTATAAAATGTAACAATATGTATTAGATCTTTGGATTGGACTTTCACTTTCATTAGTAGTCCAATATAGTCCAATACATTATCCCTTAAGTTTCTTACATCTAAATTATCCCCTTTGAAACTTGCTAAAAATTAGACCATTTTTTACATTTCAAGTGGCACTTCATAGTTGCCCACATTATCTTAATTGCGAATTGTACCATTATTATTATCACCACAACCTATATTGTGAGAAGCCTTAATATATACATATATATTTTGAAATCATACCTTAAACGAAATTTCTTTTATGAAATCATACATGTATACTGGAAAATAGGGTTTGACCATGTTTTTAGGTGTTGACTACCCCAGCCCCACCCACAAAAATCGCCCTCCCCTTTTCCCTCACCTCAGGATATCGACCACTTAGACCCCCACCCTCGAAGCCAACAACCCCTCACTACTTCTGCCACCCCAAAACCACCTCTTCCCTTTCCTTCGTTAGGGTTTAGGGTGGTTCGGGTGTGGATTTAGGGTTTGGGGGCGCAGTTGAGGCGGGGGTGGAGGAAGGGGTGGGGGTCTTTAAGGTGAGGGCCGGGGATAGGGGGCGGGGACGTTTAGGGGTGGGAAAAACGGAGGGGTTAGGTAATCGGGGTGAAGGAAAAGGAGTGGGGTAGGGAAAAAGGAGAAGTGGGGTCTTAGGGTAGGGTTCCCGACATGTGAGACCTGGGCGCCAGGCCGCCAGTGGAGGGAAAGAGGTGGCTAGGGCTTTTTAGGAGGTTGTCATGAAAGGGGAAGGGATTTTGGGGAATGGGGGAGAGGTGGCTACCGTTAAAAGGGGTAGGGTTAAGGTGGTCAACGCCGTGAAAGGGCCGGAGGGGGATAATTGGGGTAGTCAACGCCGAAAAAAATAGGATCAAACCCCTTTTTTCAGGCATAAGATATGACTTCGAAAAAAAAAATGATTAAGTTATGATCTCACAAAAGTTAAAATTATAATGAGGTTTCTCACCAAAAAAAAAATAAAAAAAATAAAAAAAAATGTTTTTATAAGGAGGTTTTTGATAAAATTTCCTAGATAAATATGTTGTCTCCAAAGTACTAATCATAAGTTTTAGCCTTACCCTTTGACCCTGTGTATATCCCTAAAAATAAAAATATTATCTCTCATCATACCAGTAATATTTAATTTGATAATTAATCATCAACCTTAATTTATAAAACTAAACGTCATGAAACTCATAATATACATAGTTGTACTAAAATATTTCATCAAAATATCAAATTATGGAAATCCAAAAAGAAATTTGATACAAATTTGTTTAGTAAAAAAAAATAAAAAAATAATGAATGATATCAGGAAAAATGTCATCCTCAAAGCCATATTTTTAGAAGGTGATCAGATAAGTTAATCGAACGACTTTATCAAATAATTCTACGTAGCAGAAAATCTTGCGTGAACCTGGTCCACAATAATATTATTGTGGACTTAAGGTTTATACACACGTAACTGACATTATATTCAAACCCTTAATTTTAATATAGTAGCCTTATTTTTAACATAGTAACCATTTTTAAAATTTGTGTGACCTTTAATGTTATTATGAACTTAAAATACAACACTAGTTTGAATAGTGACCTAATTTTAACATACCGATCATATTGACCATTATACTAAAAATTTCATTAAAAAAATTAACCTCTTATAGCTTTTATAATGTCCTACTAACTTTTATTTCAACATAATAACCTTTGTTTTAATGTAGTGACCTTAATTTTTTATTAATAAAACAATAGTGGTCCATAATAAATTAGTGTGAACCAAGTTCATTTAAAAATTTGTATCTACGTAGTACTTGTATCACATGGAATTGAAAAAGGGTTACATAGTTACTTGCAAAATTATTTAATTTATCTATCTATCGAATCTTTTTTCAAATAGCATATTTGTGAGGTTATTATTATGAAAGAAAATAAAAATACATAATGTGAAACCGTTAAAAAAAATTATTTGCTATTAAAATTATTTAGAACTACCTAGATTGGCTAGATGAAAGAAGAAAAAAACCAGTTAGGCCCTATAGAGTGTGTGATGATCTTAAACTTTAAGAGAATGGGCCAGTTATGCAATCTAAAAACAACGATTTGTATTATTTAAAAAAGGCTTACATTGGGCCGGTGATGGGGCCGCGATCACCGTTGAAAAGCATCTGCAATCGTGCACTACTGTTGTAGACAATCAAAACCCTTCACGACGCAGTCAATTGGCTCAAAAGTAAAGCCTAAATTCGAGTATTTTTTAAACAAAATCGTATAAAAGACAACGCGTCCATTTCCGCGCAATTGAGGGCCGTCATTTGCTGACTCAGCTTGCTTCCATTGCCAAAACTGCCCTCCAATGTTCCAGATGTTTTTGAGGTTAGGTTAGTTTATGGACATATAGACTATAGTTATGTTCTTATGTTATGTACTAGTGGAAAATGATTTTGGCACATCAAAATGGATTCTCACACACATTTATGTAAGATCACAGTATTCTATGCTGTTTTCATATAACGATGTGTCAAAATCAATTAAAGGTATGTCAAAATCAATTTTTCAGTGTTATTCTCCGTAATGTTATTTACTACCTCTGTTACATTTTATTTGCAACGATTAGATATTTTTCTTCTCTACTTTATATCAAATCGTTGCAAATAATATGTAACGGAGGTAGTAATACAATTATACAGTATTTTATTGTTGTTTTATGTGTGCATGGTGCCATGGTATATCTCATTGTTTTTTTATTATTATTTTTTTAAATGTGCATTGGCATAGGTATTGAAAGGGTATGGCCATATGAGTATAAATATTAGCAAAGCTTTGGTTTTCACCGAGCATATTTTTTTGAGGGATTTTCCTTACATTCCTCTTTTAAAATGAACCTTCTCCTTAAAAATAAATAAATAAAAAATACTCGTAATAAATATAATATTTGTATATCGGTAGTTAGTAAATAATGAGTTTCTTTTTTTAAATTTAGGAATCCAATCCTTTAAGCTCTTCCCATTTTATTGTTTTTACATTGCCTCAATTACCTTTTTTTTATATATTATTTTATTATTTTTTTTCTACCTTCATTATTGTTAATTGCATTTTTTGTTGTTGAACTATTTATAAAAGTATGCGGACATATATACCCCTAAAATATTTGTTTACATTTATTTCCCTCATTGGTGTAACCAACATCTTAACTAGCTATGGTGTGTGCACTGTGCATGATAGTCACTCAATAATGGAAATAATTTTGAAGGTTCATTTAAGCTGTGAATAGAGTTTACATTAGATTGGAAGAACATTTAAGTAGGAGGGAGAACTGTGTAGTGTATTATGGATCGTGTGGTGGGGCGAGGAGGGATAAAAGTGAGAATTTATTTAATTACTATAAAAAAATTCAAAAATATGAAAATAAAAATAGTGTACATAAATGGAAAGTAGGAAGACTTAAGTGTATGAAAGTGTCAAAAGTGAAGAGTAATAAACTAATGTGATCATATGTTCAAAAGTAGGAAAAAAAAATGAAATGTTTTAATTTGGTGAAAATAAGTCTAATCATTTTGTGATATGAAAATATTAAATAAAATTTTGCAAGAAAAAATTAATTACATCAAAGTTTCATGAAGCCTTAAAGAATGCTACTCTGTATAATTTATTTCAACTTTGACTCTAATTCAAAAAAAAAAGAAAATATTTATCTACATGACAATCCATTAATCCGTATTAAATAGCTCACAACCCATTCTTCTGGAAAAAAAATTGCACACCTTTCACCATTATTTTATTTTTGTTTTTGAATTAGACAACAATTGCCTTGCAAAAAAATAAAAATAAAATTGTCATGCTTATTTTGAAATCATTTAACATCTATAAAATAACTCCCATCCAATGAAACCAAGTCACCAATGCAAGTATTATTATTAAATTATTATTAGTGGTCATTAAAAATTCTTTAATGATTTAAATAAATATAACAACCACCAAATATCTTCGATCCCTTATTTGCTACACCATATCCACGCACGAATGTAGACGAAAAGGGTAGTTTAGGAAACATAAAATCAACAAAAAGAACATATACCAAGTCAGCTTTTAAAGGAGAAAATAACATTAACAAATCATATTTTTGTTCAAAAATATGATTTTTAAAGAAGAAAAAAAAAGACAAGAAAGAAACAGTCGTTGGCCTCAAAAAGCAACCTTGACCATCAACTCCCATATTTAATGGGCCCCTCTCCACATCACCTACCCAACTCATTTAACTGTCAACCGCATTTCTTTTTATTCTCTTCCCTCCCTTCTTTCTCTCTCCTCCCCTGTTTTTTCTATCTTCCTCTGTTTTCCCCTGTTTTCTTTATTTCATTCATTTTGATTAATTTTGATCTTTGAATTTTAAAAAATAAAAAATGTGGACTGGAGGGGCGGATAATCAAGGGCACTTCCTCGGCCGGATAAGTATTCGTCGTAATCAAGTTGCTTCAATGGAGGGAGAAGTTGAAGATTTAGAGCTTTTCCAAAGAAAAATTGCTGATCGTTTTTTTGATCTTTTACCCCTTAATAAAAAAGACACCCACCATTCATCTTCAATACCGACATCGCTATCGATCTCATCTTCCGCCAGTGATTCTCCTCTATCGGTTGATTTCGACGGGGATTTTAGCCCTTTTTCGTGTAGTGATACTCTTCTTTCTATTGCTTGGATTAGGAAACTTCTTGACGCATTTCTTTGTTGTGAGTCGGAGTTTAAGGCTGTATTGTTGATTGGAAGGGAACCGTCGCAGGTTGCGAAATCGCCTCTCGATCGATTGATTCCTGATTTATTGGATAGAGCTGTTAAGGGTTTGGATATTTGTAATGCGATTAATCATGGTATCGATGCGATTAAGTTTATGCTAAGTCAAGCTCAGATTGTTGTCTCTGCTTTGGAACAGAGGCCCTTTACCGATGGACAGGTAAATTAAATCAAGAAAACTCCCAATTTCTGTCCTTTATAATTCAATTTTTATATTTTAAGATTGCCATTTTGGTTTTTCATTATGTTTGTGGTTGAATTTCGTTCAAAATGCGATGAATTTTCAAGGTCAATTAGGAAATTTGACTGCTTGATTTCATATGGGTATTGCATCTTGCATGATATATCTTGGTCAAACAAGGAATTAACAGATTTTGTACTAATATGTCACAACAAATTTGAATTTATTACTTGACCAGTTGAATTGAATTCTATTATTCTTTTTTGATGGACCAAATTTTATCTAAGATATCCATTGAAAAAAAAAAAATTCAATCTTTCAAAATTTGATGTTTTGTATGCCAATCTTCAATATTTGAACAATTTATTGACAAGGGTGTACCAAAATCCAAAATTGATGGAATTGAATTAAAAGGGTAGGCGTAATTTATGCATTTGAACAAAATATCATTCTAATTTTGCTGATATTGTTGGCAGATTCGAAGGGCAAGAAGAGCGCTCGCAGCACTACAAGGTTCAATTGTGGTGGATGAGAAGGAAAATACAGGCAAGTCGACCGAGAGATCATGGTCATTTGGGAAGCGCTCAAGTGGCGCGTCATCGAAAGACCGGCATCACGCGCCGAACTTCAAGTCTCTATCTTGGATGGTGGCCAAGAATTGGTCAGCTGCCAAGCAAGTCCAATCAATCTCCTCCAATCTCACCGCGCCACGCGGTGGGGAATCGACAGGGTTGGCCCTCACCGTATACATCATGAATGTGGTCCTAGTGTTTGTAATGTGGGCTCTAGTTGCAGCTATTCCTTGTCAGGACCGGGCGGGGCTCGGGACCCACATCCCGGTCCCTAAACAGTCTAACTGGGCCCATGGCATCTGTGGGCTCCAGGAAAAAATAGCTGAGGAGTGGAAAAGGAAAGAAAAAAAAGGTTCACCCGGACTAATGAAAGAAGTGGTTAAAATTGATAAATTGGCTCAATCTTTGGTGGACTATGCTGATAATTTTCAGTACCCTATGGAGGAGGAGAAGGAGGCCGAATTCGCCACCCAAGTCGCCGAGCTAGCCGAGATATGCCGGAAAATGGAGGATGGTCTCGGTCCGTTACAACTACAAATTAGGGAGTTGTTCCATAGACTTGTTAAGACTCGTGCAATAATACTTGATGTCCTTGATCAAGCAGGCAAATCATCTACTCCTAATGTATAGGTTAGAAATAAAACCTTTTTTTTTTTTTTTAAATTTAAAATTTTCGGGTTTATTTTTTAATTCTATTGTGTTATGTAAATTTTGTCATCTGGAAATGTCTTTTTTCCCAAAAATGTAAAAGGTATTAAAAAAAAAAGAAAAAAAAAAAAGAAAATTCAGGATAGAATTAGTGTATAGTAGAGGTTTTAATCGAAAATTCTACAATAAACGTCATGTACTACTATGTACTACTAAAGCAGCGTACTGCTATGTACCACTAATATTTTTATATTTTCTTTCTTATATTTTTAATTGAAATATTTTACATCAATTTTTTTTAATTAAATTTATTAAAAATATTTTCATATCATCAATTTTATTTACACCGTACAACTAATCAAAACTTTTGAAAATTATTTTATATATATATTTTAAAAGCTAATATTTGTTTCATATCATCAATATTAATTTAAATAAAACAAGATATTTTTTACACTGTACAACTAATTAAAGTTTTTCAAATAAAATTTTCTAAATTTATTTAACTTTTTTAAAATCTAATATTTGTATGTATTTTCTTAATGTAATTCGAATCATCCTGTCTGGTTTAAACTTTACGGCTCTATATATTAATACCAATTCAGTCAAATTTACTCGTATATATATATACATTGTAATTGTATTATTCTCAACTTGTCATGTTCGGAGGGGGGGCAATTGTGTGGCCCATCTAGCTGCTAGAATTAATCCTTGTAATGGTTTTGAACAAACCTTTGTTGATGCTGTTCCTCAAGGCCTGATTGCCTTGGCGGAGATCGATTTTCCTATTTAATTCTAATTAGGCTTGTTGAGCCTTGCCTTTTCAAAAAAAAAAAAAAAAATTCTCAACTTGTCAATAATTAGAGATCAATAAAATCTTTTCCATCCAATATCTTTTCTACAACATATTTTTGTTTTGGAAGAAAAAGAAATTATAATATCATATCTTACATACTACTACAAAAACGACTTATACCTAGAAATTTGTTGAAAACTCCATGAATAATGTAAACTGTCAAGATATCCCCCCAAAGTAAACATTATGATATAAAAAAGAAGAAAAAAAATAAAATAAAATAAAAATAGATGCTCACGCTAAGGATAAGGAGGGGAAAAAGGAAAATAAAGTAAATTTTCTTTTACATATTAGTAATTCTGTATCAACTTTTAATATTATTTTAATATTTTTCATGATCCTAATAAAAAGAAACATCCAGCTAAAAGCCTAAAAACAAGGAATATATATCTACAAGAATCTAAAAGGGATAATTTTTTTTTACTAATACATAACAATACATAGCATTTACAGTACATAACATTACACGTCATGTACTGTAGACTCTCCCGGTTTTAATAGGGAGTTTTTGGGCTTTTCATCCATGGTTAATTGCATATATGCTAATTTGGGTGCTTAGCTTGTGTCATCTAAGCTTTAGAATAGCTGATTTGGGGCATGACTTTCTATATTTAGAAATACTAAAATTAGTGGGGGTGTTTTTCTTGTAATTTGTATGTATCTTTTCATCTTTTGGGCATTTGGAGTGAATGTAATACTCTTCTCTGGATTGGTATAAATTGTAACATATGCTGATATGTATAATAGATTATATTCTAACCAAAAGTAAAATAAAGGTATTATTACATCTTTTCTTGTAAGAGTATAATTGTTACATATTTACATATTGGTCACTTGGGACTTGGTAGTGGTAGTGGACTAGTGGTAATGGTAAATATCAATGGTGATATTCCATCAACCATAAGAAACAAGAAAGTCAAACCTTAAAATTGACCTCCATATGTAAATTTTAGATAGTTCAACTCTATAATATATGCCAATTGCCAGTCCAAGCTTTTAAAAAATGTCTAGACTTATTATGCTGGTAGTAAAAGATTCAAACTTACTTTTCAATGTAAAATTCTTCTACTAATTAACATAGGTATCTATTCATTGAAAAGTTGTAGGTTTAAAGTCTTGTTTTACATTAAACGTATAGTTTTGATAAACAACAAATTTGTGTTTGTGTTTTGTACTCGTAGAATTATAGTATAATGATTACACTTTACTTTTGAGGTCAAAGTTTGAAATTTGTAAGGACTTTTAACTACGGAGTATTGTTTACTAATGTTCATGGCCCTCGCTTGGGGTATTTTCTGTCCCCTTCTTACCTTAATTAAAAAAAAAATTAAAAAAATCATCCATAACATCTTATTAGATCCGTCTGAATACTCTAATAATATCGGTTTTTTTAAAAAACATAGGAATTATTAAATACAAAATCTGTAGCTAATTATTTCCATGAGTCCTTTTGTTGAAACCCATTGTATCCCACTTGTGAGTGTCCCACATTGGAAAAAGTGGAGAGGTGGTTCCACTTTATAAGGTAGAGGAGTTACTCCTAATATTGTCAATTGGTTTTAGTATGGAAGCTCCAAAGCCTTGTTTTTGGACCAAACTCTCCTCCTCCTTATTCGGATTGTCCAGACCCATTTTATATTGTTTCCAAATTTAACAACTTTATACTTAATCTTTGAGCTGAACATTTTTTGTTTCATGTGGATGTATCATACTTCGTATATTCATATATACTTCATACGAGTAGCAACTATATCTTCTCCTACTTTGTAAAACCACTAATGTTATTATAACGTTACACTAGCTAGGAGATCAGAACAACTCGTTTGTTAATTGATGAGATTAAATTATCTCGAACTGAGATTGAAAAAAACAGAAAAGATGAGCTTTCCAAGTTTTATATGGTTAAGCTTTTCTCCAACAATTACTTGTAGAATTTATCAATGTACTACGTAGTACATAAATTACTAGGGGTCTTATTTACCTAGTCAAACAACACAATTATTGATCTACTAAGTTGAATATTTCAAATTCTCGTACAAGTTAATTATACATCAGTTTGACTTTATACCAAGAAAAAGTCTTACTGATGATCAAGTCAAATTTACAAAGGTAGACCCTTGAGAACAACACACGTATGTATGTTGTGAAATTTTGATACTTAAGCACTGAAGTGCAAGTAACAGTCACATATTATAATCATTAAATGGGAAAAAAATAACCATTTATATAGTGATGGGTTACGTTAACTTATGTTATGAAAGCCTTGTACATCCCCCCTTAATTACAAATTACAATAATTAAGTTGATGGCATTATTTATTATGATTTTATAAGAATTGTTTGGTGGTTAAATAAATGTATCAATACATTATGTACCCTTTCATTCTTTGTATTAATTATATAATTAGTAGTTTTGGGTCAAATTATAATGGTCTTTTCTACTAAAACCTTTTTAATCACTGATGTAAAATAGAGAATGGTACGTGTACGGCTTTGCTTTTGGGGTTAATTACTTGATTACCTTATAATTGAAAACCAAAAGTAGATACTTTCTCGTATAATTTGTATATCATCTCATAGAATTTTTTACAAATTTTATTACAATTAGGATGTAATATTCTCCTAAAACAGTTATAAATAAAAGGAAATTTTGGGCCTGTTCTGATTGACTGAACTGAGTTAAACTGAAATGAATTGAATTGAATTTATTGGAGTTGAACTGAACTGAATTAAATTGAACTAAACTACACTAAATATTTTATAAGAGAAGGAAATTAAAAACTGAATTGAACTGATTGGAGCTGAACTGAAAATAAGCCGAAGAGAACAGACCCTTTCACTTTTGCTACCACTCAAACACCTATGTTTCACTTTTGCTAACCATCTAAAGTTTTATTTTATTTTGCTACCACCCTAAAATCACATAATTTAAATTTCACCACCACTTAACACTTTCAATTATTATTTCCGTTAGTGAGATCCAGCCACCCTAACCGCCACCTTCCGACAACCCCTCCCTCCTTAGCCACCCTAATTGCCTCCCCGTCAACCATCAAAAAATATTTTTTTTGTTTTTTAAAAAAAGAACCTAGCCACCTTCAACACTGCCAGCTCCCCAGCCGTCAGCCACCCTCACCCCTCCCCCTGCCGGCGACCAAAGCTTCGACCGGCGCCGATGACCCCACCTACTCCCTTTTCCCCATAAACCGAAACCTATAACTCTAAACCACGCACCAGCCTGAACCCACCCAAAACGGGTTTTAGGGTTTCGCTTATGATGGTTTCGAGGTGGTAGTTTAGGGTTAGGGGTGGCCAAAAAGGGTAGGGGAAGGGGAGGGGAGGTCGATTTCGGTGGGGGAATGCGGAGGGGGCCGATTCCGGTGGGGGGAATGGGGAGGTGGTTTTAAAGTTAGCTTATGGTGGTTTTAGTGCAGCAAGAAGGGGAAAGGGGAGAGGGATGGTTGTGTCGGTGGGGGAAAGGGAGTGTGGTGAGGTCGCCTACATCAATCGAAGCTTTAGGCGCCGGCCGCCGGCAAGGGGGGAGGGGTGAGCGTGGCTGATAGAAGGGGGCTAGGCAGTTTAGGATGATTTTTTTTTTTTTTTTTTTAAAATAATTTTTTGAATAAACTTAACGAAATAACGGATTTCATTAAGTGGTAGTGAAATTTAACTTTTGTGATTTTAGGTAGTAGCAAAATAAAATAAAGTTTTAAAAGGGTAGCAAAAGTGAAGTTGGGGTATTTGGGTGGTAGCAAAAGTAAAATTTTCCTAAAGAAAAATATAATACGAGTAATAAAAGATACTCCCTCCGTCCCTAAATTACATTTCTCTTTGGAAATTTACACGGGAATTAAGAAAGAAAGAATAAGACAAATAACAATAATTAGATAATGCAATGGGAAGTACAAAACATTAAATAATGTTTTTGAGTAAAACAAATATAGATTAGTGATTACTCATTACATGTCATCAATCCTTTGCAAAAAAAGGACCAATCACATGCTCCTAATTGAAAATTTTTAACCAATCATATTCATTGTAACTTGGCACAAGGATTCTAAAAAAATTAAAGGCTGAAAAAGTACATTAGTCAACCACACATTAAAAGTGGAATGTAAATACATTAATTATACATTAAAAGTACAACTTAAAAAGAGAGTGTATTTGAGATATTTAGAAAAAAGAAA